TCCCAGGGCCCCAGGATCATGCTCTGAGCTGAAGGCAGATGCTCAGCCACTGAGCCACCCAGGTGCTCCTGCTTAACATATTTCTAAAGAAATTTCCCATTTGCAGTGCAGCTTTTCTGAATCCCTTTGACATCCAGAGTTGTTGATTCCTCCTTATGTGTTTTGTCACGAGATAGGTCCTCTGTGCCATCAGGAGCACTGGTGGTGCAACATTTCTTTAAAAAGTGCTCCGCTGTAGTCTCTGGGATTTTTTCATTGGCTCCTGACACCTGTCCTGCATCATTTGCTGCGGGCGCATCCTCGTGTGACACACAATAGTCCAAAGATCTAGCTTCCTGTCCTTGCTCATGTCTGCACTGTAGTCCTTTCTTTCTGCACCTAAGTGTGGGTTTTAGCCATTTATTTTGCTCTCTGCTCCCTCTCTCCCCAGGTACCCTTTCTGTTTTGTCTTGATCTTTCTCTTTCATGTTAGAGCCATGCCTCAAATGTCTAATGACCTGTGGCTGCCTATTGACATTTAAGAGAGGTGCCAACAAGCTCAAAGCTGCAAGGGAGAGGGGCTGGGTTAGCTCCTGCAGCTTGGGTGACCCCCGGGGGTCAGTCCTGGAGGTCCTACCTCTCAGCGCATTGTGTATTCCAACACAGAGAGAGAGACAAGTGTGCGCTTCTCCTGCGTGGGGACCGTGGGGACCGACGGGGGCCTGGGTGCTCAGAGGGAGGAGCGGGGCAGGGGTCTCCCAGGCAGGAAGGCCCATTTCCATGCCACCCCCTTGCTGCTTTCAGTTCAGCGTTTCACCCCTGCCCTCAGCTACATTTGAAGAACCCAAATCCTCACGCTCTGCTTTTCTCCACGGTCATCTTCAAAGCCCAGGCTGGGGACGCTGCTTTCTGCAGGCACAGCCACCCCTTTGCCTGCTTCTAGCCTCCCACAGCAGCGCTGCCTTGGGGCTGCTGGGGCCCCCACCCCTGGGGCTGAGAGCTTGCAGCTGGCTCCCCCAGCCGCCACTTGGGTTGCCCTCTTCATTTGCTCTCCAGCTTCCTGAGTTTTGTCAAAATCCCTTGACTGTCGCCTTTCCCATTCTCTTGGTCTTTGTGGATTTTTTTTTTTACCTCTTCAAACTCCTTGCCTCTCGTTTTCATGGCGTTCCAGTGGGAGCAAAAATGAACATGGACCTACCATATTTTCATCGCAAAATTCTTTTTAATTTCTTTTCCAGATTCCCCAAATGAGGAGGTCAGGGCTTTGTGAAGAATGCATACCGTGCTGGAAAGGGTACAGTTAGAACTGCTTTTTTCTTTTCTTTTAGTTGAAGTACAGTTGACATACGATATTATATTAATTTCAGGGGGTCTAATAAGACCTGCTCTTTCTTTTTAAAAAATTTTATGTATTTATTCATGAGAGACACACACAGACACATGCAGAGGGAGAAGCAGGCTCCCTGTGGGGACCCCGATATGGGACTCGATTCTGGGACCCCAGGATCACGCCCTGAGCCAAAGGAAGATGCTCAACCACTGAGCCACCCAGCCACCCAAGACCTACTGTCTCACTAACTAGAGTGGAGGCAGGACAATGACCCAAACCCGTTTCCTCACATGCGGACATTGGGTCCACCTGGTAGATGATCACCTCAGTGAGGTGATGGCTGGGAGGAGCTGATGCATCCGAGGGGGGCCTGAATTTGCACCCCAGCTTGGTCACATGCCAAATGAGCACCTGGAGATGGGTGTGTCTGCTGGTCTGTGAGTACACTGTTTACAGTAATGCTTAATCCGAAGGCTGTTAGGAGAACTGAGCTGCTGTGGGCGAAGCCCCCACGCAGACGGGGAGCTTAGCCCACAGTGGGTCCTCCCCTTCCTCTGTTCAGACCAGGAAGGCCTCGCCTTAGCAGTGCTGCTGTGACATGCACCTCGCGCCCTGATTGTCCAGGCGAGCCCCAGAGCCCCAGGACCTGGTCTTGCCCGACACCTGCTCCGCAGCCCAGGCTGCTACTTGCCTCTTGGACGTTGTCAGGTGCTATACCCTTTGCGGTGGGAATGGGATGACCCGCTTTCCCCTCGGTCAGACAGGCACGTCTAGAGGACAGTTATCTACCCAAATGGCTCCTGTTGGGATATTAGTCACAAGTAAGAATATCTTTGAAATGTTCCAGATTTCTTAAAAAAAAAAAAAAAAAAAGAAAGAAAAAAGTAAACCATTGCACTGACTCTGGGCTCCGGCCCAGGTGCGGAGGCAGGGAGGCTCAGGGTGGAGAGGCCGACTTGTTGATGAAGGCCGCAGGCCGGGGCCAGGGCAAAGGGCCAGGCCCTAGCTGGGGTCACCGTGGGGCCGGAGCCAGACAGCTGATGACTTTCTGGGCGAGCAGAGTGGGAAGGAGTGGCAGGATTCCTCCCAGACGGCGGGCAGGGGGCAGGAATCCCGCTGCCCTCGTGGCAGGTGCCGCGCTCCAGCAGGTCAGACATCCTCCCTCGCATCTCATAACCAAGACTCCTGGAAATGGAAGAAGCATCAGCCCTCCCCTCTCTGTTGCCTAGCAACGGCCTCCTTCTCCTTCCCCTGGGTCCCCAGGGGCCTTCTCTCCCGTGGGGGATGGAGGTGAGATAATTACCTGGTCTGCATGACACGTTCTGGCTGCTTCGTGCAGGAAGTACTTGCCGTGCAAATGAATAAGGCACTTAGGAAACCATTTATTTTCCTCATTTGGGGTTTGTTCTGCACTGTCATCAGGAATTAATGTTTACTTTTTTTTTTTAAAGATTTTATTTATTCATGATAGTTACACACACACACAGAGAGAGAGGCAGAGACACAGGCAGAGGGAGAAGCAGGCTCCATGCACTGGGAGCCCGATGTGGGATTCGATCCCCGGTCTCCAGGATCGCGCCCCGGGCCAAAGGCAGGCGCCAAACCGCTGCGCCACCCAGGGATCCCTAATGTTTACTTTTGAGAGGTGTCTGTTTGCATGTGTGGGTATTTCCAGTCGTCTGGTGGGTAGTTGCGGGATTAAAAGGCATACCCACGGCTCACACTCGGACTCGGGATGTCAGCCCCTGCCCTGGAAATTGGATCAGAGAAGCCCTTTTCTTGAATTGTCCTGTGCCACCCCAGTGCCTCTGAGAGTCAGGGCCCCCTGAGAGCTCCCAACCTGGCCGAAGAGCAGGTGCCAGCCCAGGGCCTGGGAGGAGAGGCACCAAGATAGGATTGATGGTGCAAAGATTTTATTTGGGGAAACACATAGGTGAGAGAAAATAGGGAAGGTTCCGGGAGAGCCATGGGATGAGACTCAAAGTTGATTCTGAGTGACAGAGACACGGAGGCAATGCTGAAGCCTCCTAGCTTGCCCTGGAGTTTCAGGAAGGTACAGAAATTCTCCAGCTAAACTGTTCCTGGGGGAGCCAGCACCCACCCTGGGAAGCCCAGCAGTGGCCTTCCCGGGTGGGCCCTGTGCTCTTTCACTCGGACTTGGGCACCTCCAATCCCTGTCCTTGGACGTCTGCAAGATACTATCTCATGGCCCCCACAGCCAGACTTGAGGAAATGCACTGCTGGCAGGGGAGGGTGGGGGCGAACCTGGTGTGGGGAGGTTATCCTGCCAGTGGGGTCAGGATACCCGGAAAGGCAGGTAGAGGACCACACAGCCGAGGTTTGAGAAGGAGGTACTTTTGGAGAAAAGGGTGAACCTAGGGACAGAGGAGCAAGGGTGGGAACTGGCGTGCCCACAGGAGACCTCCCGTGAAGGGGGAAAGGCACATCTAGCCCCGGCTTTGAATCTCTCCTCTTGTTCCTTTCCCATGGTCTTGCTCCCAGGAGAGGCTGCTTATGATCAAACTTCACACGGGAAATGCGACTGTAAGCTGCTTTACTGACACCTACTGTATTCTTCTCTGTTTACTGTAACACCTGATTGTATTTACAAGTGTTTGGAAAGAACATTTCCTTTTTCCATGTGATTATGCATTCATTTCCATTTTATCCTCCCTGTGAAAAATCACTAAGTATGAACTCTGTTGTGTAATTGAGGGGGTGGGGGCAGCACCACTGACAGGTGACCTCCCAACCACGGGGCCGCTCTCCAGTTTCTTCTGCTCTTTTAATCGCTGAGCCTCCAGTAAAAGCCTGAAACCTCACACCACATTGTGTGGTGTTGACTGAAGAAGAAGGCGGCAGGCGGTGAAGGGATGTGTGGCCTGCCCACATTGTGCACCACCCACCCTCCCAACCACTCCATGGAAACAAAGTGACAGCTCATCAAGGAGACTGTTTTCAGATGCTCCAGGGGGTGACCAGCAGGAAAGTCCACGGAGGACACCGTGACAGGGAGGAACTCTGAGAGAGCATGTCTGATTGTAAGACCTCCTCTCCCTCAGGACAGACTAGAGGGAGGCAGGCCCTAGGGTTGGGGATAGGAAGGCAGACAGAAAGGTGATGCTTGGGGCATGTTGGTTTTCATGAGTGTTTACTCAATGTCAAGTGCTTCACATACATGACCTCACTCCCCACCACAGACCTCAGAGGGTGAGCATCTAGGAGTTTGTCCCCAGGTGACACAGTCAGTAGAGCATGGGTGTTGCTCCCTGTTTGTCCTATAAAGTTCCTGATACAAAGCTCTACATAGTGCTGGGACCAGGGAGATGGATGAATGCTCAAGAGGTCAGGGCAGCCTGACCTTTTGTGGTCACTCAGTGAGTCACAGGGCAGGAAAATTTTGGAGGGGCTCCTTGGGGACCCCAATTCCCACACCTGGAGGCACCTAGCCTGTGTGCGCTCAAGTGCACCCTCATGCGTTTGACTTGGGACACTTGTCAGCATGAGTGAACTGGCCTTCTGGTTCCAAGCCATGGCTCCATAAACAGATCCTTCTTAATTAGCCTTGGCAGCCCAACACCTCTGGTGTATCTAGCTCATTCCACCGCCACGCCTACTCTTGTTGGATCCAGTTCTAAAGTAAACTATGTTCTTTGAGAGCTGTCGCATACAGATGAGTTGGCAGCCAGTCTGAGCTGACCCTCAGACTCGTAAAAACCTACAGGGCCTCAGCACCCTCACCTGGGATACCCAAACTCTTGGACGAGAGGTGCAAGACGGGTCCAAGCAGCCATCAAGGACGTGGCTACTTTCTTGGGGACCAAGAAATTGAGTTTTTGTCTCTGCACTTAACTCTGGCAATCCATGAGGTAAGAGGGTGAAATGCAGCATTGCCTCTTTGTAGAAAAAAAATAAGTTGATTCTGGTGGAAATGTAACCCTCCTTTTTCCGTACCTCAAGTCTAGACAGGCTGTCCACCACTCCTGGGGGTTTAGAAGTGTGGTTTTAACTTGCTCACTTGAGGCTCTCCATCTCCTGATCACACCTGGATTACACTGTGAGCTTCATCCCGCCATCCCTTGGCCATTTGAGCCTAGAGCTGGAGTACAGCGAAAGCCTCTATCTAGTCCCACCATGCCTGGTTCCAGTCTTCCCTTCTTGGTAGTGGAGATATGTGCAAGGATTCTGTTCCCGATAGCATCATTTCCCTTGTGGCGGGAACTTGCATAATAGCAGGACCTCCCTTAGAGCTTCTCCATCACGAAGGCAGAGGATAAAATGCTAATAAGGTCTATTATGGAAAAGGCGCAAGGCTTATCTGGGTGAATTGTGTTGGTAAGACATTTTGCTTACCTTCTCCTGAATGCCTTTCCTTCCTTTGATGAAATGTTGCCTGATTGTGAGTGAATGCATTTGGATTTCTCAGCATTTGTTCAGCTCCCTAAATTTCTGCTGTGACAAATGCTCTGTAGCAGTGAGTGGCAACTGTTTCCCTAGTGCTCTGCTTTATGTGAACCTAAGAATGAACGGGCATGGAGCCCCTTCTCCCAACATCTCTATCATATAGATTCTAGGCATAGTTGCTCCAAAGAAGTTTGTCTTTTGCAATAGGCAAGCTTTGGGAAGAGTTTTTTTTTTTTTTCCTTCTTCTTTAGTTGCATATAAAATAGAGCAAAACATGGTGATTGTGGTAAGGCGGCCATTTTAAATATGAATTTTCCAGGTCTATCAGTGGGTGCTCTTCAATCATGGGCTTGGCTCGTCTTGTCTTGCTCAACGTTGTTTAGTGATAGTGTTATCCTCACTCAGTCAGCTTCAGTTTTTCAAAGCAGAGTGAGGTAGGGGTATCTGATAATTTGTGAGCCATCAGAAAAAAAACAAAAACTTTTTTTTTTTTTAATACTTAAAGGCATGAAGATGGATTTTCTTCTGTGTCAGGAGCACACCAAGTCATTTAGGTGCAGGACTGAACTTGTAAGAAGCACAGGGAGTAAATTCCTTGTGAATGGTACTTGGTGCTTTGGTGGCATTTGGTTTCCTCTGATTTTTTTTAAATAAATTTCATATATAAGATACTGTAATTGCCAAGAATGCTTTGCTCTGCAGAGCATGTCACTTTCTTGTTTTGAGTAATTCATTTTTCTAAGCTAGGTTACAAATCTACCCTGGACCTTTTCACAGCTCAGTGATTTTCCAAACGTTCAGCTCTGACTCCCATGCTTTGCCTTTTACCTGCCCCGTGACTTCCATGGATTCAATGTTTCCTAATTCCTTCCCGTCAAGTTTTCACTGGGATTGCTTATCTCTCTCGGCAGCGTGACCCTGAGTTTGACCCAAACTTCACCCCTCTTGCTTCTACCATTTAAGATGCTAATAATGACTATTGCCTTTCTTCTCATCGACATTGTCCTCATTAATATTATTATGTACATATGGGTTTTTTCCTCATTTGCCTTTCCTTAAGCTTATAATGAGCACCCGTGATGTTGTAGGAACTGTGCTAGGCCCTGGGAAATTACTGAACAGCTCCAGTTCTCATGGCACTTACAGTTTAGGGGGTACATAAGTGGGAACCAGTAATTACCCTCCAGCAGGATACATACGACGATGAATAAGGACTACCACGCAGCAATGTAGTCATGATATAATCCCTGCATGCACTGGAGGGACGTTCTACTTTGCCTGAAGAAGTCCTTATGAAAGCATAATCTTCAACTCCCGTAGTAGGCAGGATGGTGCCTGTGGGGGGCAGGAGGAAAGGCATTGCAGAAAAAGGAAATAGCATTTGCAAAAACATGGAGTCATGAGAGAGCATATAAGCGGCAGGTACAAGGAATACCAAGCTGGTGCGGGGTGGGTGGTATGGGGAGGGGTGAGGAAAGATGATGCAGGGGATGCTGCAGAGAGAGAGTACACATGAGAGATGACTTTGTGTGGGATGCTAAGGAGCTTGGGCAGTATCTTGAAGGTGGTGGGGAACCATATAAGATTATATTTATGTTTTAGGAAGGTTGCTTGATTTGCAAAGTGCAAGGTGGATGGGGGGTGGGGTAAGACCAGTAACAGGAAAACCAGTTAGGGGATTCCTATGAGGCGGAACCCACAAGATCTAGGGGCAAACAGGCTACCAGGACCAAGTGTAGCTTGAAATAGGAACCTGAGAGTCAGCTGGTCTCATTCAGGAAATTTCCCCAAAGTCCAAACCATGACCAAACTTTGAGTGAAAAGAGCATTTTTCCTTTTTTAAAAAAGATTTATTTATTTGAGAAAGAGAGAGAGACAGAGAGAGAGAGAGAGAGAGAGAGAGAGAGAGAGAGAATGAGTGGGAGGGGCAGAGGGAGAGGGAGAGAATCTCAAACGGACTCTGCACTGAGTGAGGAGCCCAATGTGGGGATCAATCCCATGACCCCAAGATCATCACCTGAGCCAAAACCAAGAGTCAGATGCTCAACTAGCTGTGCCACTAAGGTGCCCAAGAGCATTTTCTTTACATTTGTCTTCATACATCCACTATGGCCCATGGGGCACAGAAACATGAATTAATGATCCCCAGACGACATGAGGAGTCAGTGACTGTGTGGGGCAGGTGACTGCTTCCTCCTCAGAAATAAAGCAAATGGTCAATTGTTTTTCTGCCCCACTGAAATGCATGCCTGTCTGAGGAGAGGGAGGGTTTTCAGCAGACTGAGCCTGCATCTCTTATCCCCACTGAGTATCTATGCCTCAGATGAAGCATCATCCTGGGTTGCCTACTAGGAGGTAGGGGAGAAAATGTGTCATTCCTTATTGCGGAGGCTTGAAGTTGGGACCATATCGGAAGTAACAACAGAACTGCTGAAAGCTAGAAGCCCTTGTAACCGTTATCATAACTACCATTAATTGTCCAAATGCATTCCCGCTTAAATAGGAGTCAGATACTAACCTATCTTTCCTGTGGATGATTCCTGAGAGTGAGAACTATTTTCAGACCCGTTTTGCAGGGAGGTAAAGAAGAGAAGAAGGGAAGGGAACTTAGTGTCTCCTGAGTTTTTCCCAACAGGGTCACATGGAAGACGATGACGTTTGTAAGACGTGTTGGGATTAGTGAAGAGGCTGTCACTCCAGGCCTAGTCACTCATTCCAGGCCCAATGTTGCCTCAAGGGCCAGGGGTCAATATCTTGGTACACATGACTCCATACAGGCACACTGAATAGCTCAGGGCTGAGTAACCGGAGCCAGGTCACACGGGCAGTAAGTGACAGAGCTGGGACTATATGTCTGTCACATATCTCTTCTCTTTTTGCTTGGCAGGTGGGTGACAGGCCTTGAAATATTAAGTGAGGTCTCATGGTTCAGAATATCTGGAAAAATCAGCACTGTGGGATTTAAGTCCTGATCTACCTCAGTCTACCCACTTAAGGCAACTCTAGAAATTTTCTCCCTAGAGCTGAAATAAGTCCTGGGGTCCAGGCAGGAGCATTAGGCCCAAGAAAAAGAATATGCTAGGATATTCATTGCGTTGCTAGTTCAAGTCACTATGGAGTGAATTTATTGGCTCAGAAATCAAAGTTTTCCCAGTAATTAATTGAGGATAGTTGAATATAGCAATTAATTTTAAAGACTTCTGCTTTTTTTTTTTTTTCCCACACTGGTTGGGCATTTTCAGAAGAGGAAGTGATGGTCAGCTTGATACGAGGGGAAAACCCAAAGGGATTATCTACCTTCATCTCCAGGCCAATAAAATTATTCCAATTTTACAGGTTGAGAAAAAAAAATAATTGGACAATGATGACTTAGCCTAAGCCAAAATGTAAGAAGAAAGTAAACCTTCCCAATCTGCTCTGTCTTTGGGGAATCTATAAGATTCATGAGTAATATTAGCTCTTCTCTAGATAGATAAAAAATGGTTGGGTTGGCTATATAGTTTGTAATCTTCATGAACAAGCAGGGAGTGTGTGGAAACTAGAAAAGCAAAATGGGATAAAACCAAACTAAAAAACACTGCAAAAAAATACGAAAAAGAAAAAGAAAGAAAGAAGGAAAGGAAGGAAAAAGATGAAGGAAAAATTAATGTGGAGACATATAGGACTTTTCTCTTCTAGAAAAGTCAATAATAAATGCAAAATAACCTTAAGGTCAAAGGGCTCATAGGAGTCCATTCTTGGCTCCAGATGGAATGATCCTAAGCCATTCTTGCTGAGCTTATTAGGAAGAATGTCCAGAGAAAGTGTTGCTGTCCTTGCTGTCGCCTTGTCAGAATCTGTGAGCAGATAAAGACAGCACTGCCCTTAACATGTGAGACTCCCTGGTTCTGTTTGAGGAATAACAGAAAAAAAACAAAACAGTGCGGAGACTGGACAACTTCAAGACTATTGAGTCTACAGATGTTCAACCCCAGGTAGTTGGTCCTGGAAACTCTTATTAAGGGCTTGGGCTGTTAATAAAAAATTCAAGCCAACAGCATCACATAAAAAACCAGAGTATTGGAACTACCCTTAAACAATCTTCCTAAAGGTTCATCAAGTCCAGCTCACCCATTGTGCAAAAGAAGAAACTAAGGTCTAGAAGAGCAAACTGACTTGCTCAAAGTCCCCAGTAAAATTACCAACCTGAATTCACGCAATGTCGCTTTGGGTCAGTAACCTCCTCCTTGTTCAAGGGAACCTGTTGTTATTTTCCTAAAACGATTTCCCAGGATGCAACAGTCTGCCTCAGTGTGCATGTGCATACATTATGTCCTGCCGATCAAGCCTTGCCAAATTTGCATTTAGGTGTGACGCACGTCACTCCCTTATGCTCCTAATAGAAGATTCTTCTTGAATTCTCTGTGAAATACAAGCCAGAAATTTCCACTTATTTAGAATGTCCCCCTGTCCAGTAGTACCCTCC